TTTAAATATTTTATATTTTATTATCTTATTAAAATTGTGATTTGACGGAAAATATTAAAATATTAACCTAATTCACAATATGACGCAAATATACTACCTTACGTCGATGCTGTTATGAAATGCGTTGTAAATCCGATCCACCAGTCATTCAGCCAAACGAGTTTCAAAGGAAATCAGAATTACTTAATATTTGCTTTTGCAGTATACGACGTGTTGCTTTGTTTGGGTGTGGAACCTGGTCGTTTCAGTGTGAGAAGATGGTGGATAAATTGCATAATGAGGACATCCATAATTTTTATTCTTCTCTAGATATTATTAGGCTCTGGTCATTGGGGATGAGAAGGGCAGAGCATGTAGAGCGCACGGGGGAGATAAGGATTACGTACAAAATTTTAATTAGGAAATCCATCGAAGGTACCACTCGGAAAACAGTAAAATATAAAATTGGTCTTGGGAAATAGAGTCCAATTGTGTGGATTGAATTTATCTGGTCAACTTGTAGGCCTACTTTACTTAATAATTTACTTTGAAATGTTGTAACATACCATTTTACAACATTTTTCCTAAACAATTTGAATGTGAAAATTTGTATACAATTTTTTTTTTTCGGAATTTTATCAGCGTATACATTTTCAAGATCCTTTGTTCAATGGCATTACTGTTATCGCATGTTACAAAGATCATATTGGTGTTCCGTCGGAACCCTAAAAATACCTGATTTTTGGTTTTTGTTGTTTACGGACTGTGTTCGAGAGGTAAGCCTAGAAATTTCAGTGGCGATGTAAAAATCCCTCTATCCTGCATCCACATTTTATTTGCGAACTGCAGTTCTGCGTTTATGTTACGAACAGTGCCCGAAATATTTGCGCTACGCGACCACTAAAAGCTGAATTGACTAATTGTTTTGCATATTAAGACTCGCTGTAATTATATTTAAGAAAGACTTATAAATGTCTCTAGGCAAAGCACACATTTTCGAAAACTAAGGACCAAGTTACCCTTTCTTACAAGGTTTAACATATCAGCCAAATAACCCAGTGTGTAAGGTGACAGATTTGTATTCGGGAGATTCTCGGTTCGAATGTAGGCCGGTTCGGTTCAAGTTTTTACCAGATTTTTTTTTTTTTTTTTTTTTTTTTTTTTTTTAGATTTTCGTCAATTCATCTAGACAAACTACTGGACAGTAACTTAAAATAGACAATTATTACTTCTACCTAATCTTTTCAATTAATCTCACTGAATGTAAAATAACTCTGTTGCACGTATTAGTAAAACCAAAATCCGGTAGTTTGGAGCTCGTCAGATAACACAGGTTGTTACGAAACATCATGACAAAAAGTTTGCAGTGGTAATGAAGCCTCGTTTGTATGATTTTGGCTTGAAGTATTGGAGTTGTTACAAAGTCGGGACGAGGGTGATTGATTGACTCTGGCCACATCCAGAGATGAGCTAACATTATGAAACCACTATGAGTAGTTAATCACACGATTCTCTCATATGTACATGAGCCAACGAGTTTGATCATAACACATCCATGAACAAACCCTCCTCGGGCTCTGTAGCACTCCCGCGAGAGTGGAACTGGTAATGAATCTATCCACTTCGGTGGTGCGCCGGCAAACATCGATGTGTTTGTTCAGAAGATTCGTTGATTCCATTTAACATGCGTGTGTAACCCCGCACAAACGAGGCACCGAGAGCTTGATGCGATGGGGTGTAATCCATTTTTAAAAACATTGGACATTAATATTTTCGTATTTTAACGGAAAAAGTTGGATTGGAATCCCTTCCCCCTTGTTTACATGTTACATGATTTATAAATTTTCGTTCATATTGAACGGGGTCCTGTTTACAGCTTTTAGCTACACGACATAGCCAACTCGGTTAAATCAGTACGTCGAGTGCAGACTATACCAAGAAAAAAAGCAGTTTTTGAACTTTCATATTATGATTTTATTAAAAATTTATTTATTCGCTTAATAAAGAGACGAGATTTAAAACGAGGCTTCATTTGTCTCCGTATAAGGTCAGAGATTGGCTTTTGTGAACACGTTCACAAGCCTTGGTTTTCGTATAATACAAAGAATTTCATGACCAGCTAAGTGACCATCAGTTTCTCAATAACGACGCTGTTCCACGTGGTTTCTAGTTAGTTACTTTTCAAAACGTATATCGACTAAATTTGGTGCTCGAAATTGTCGCAGATTTACGTGACCTCACAGAGTACCAAAGAACTTTGCGACTGCGCGTTTGTGATCTCTCAGTCGTCATAGTTACTGAACATTAGAGACTACGCATTGTAGACTGTAATGAGGTTTGTTGCTTAGTTGATCAGTTCAGATACTACGTTACATACTCGTAAACTTAAAAAAAAATGTTTCTAGACTTATTAAGATTGTTAAAAAAATTCCTGGCCGTCATTTCTGTGGCCACATCGGGCCTGTACCATGGCTTAGTGAAGTCCTTTCGAAACTTCACAACTCTTAACTCTGTTTACACGTCCAAGTCTTCCTATTGGTTACTTCTCTTCAGATTTTTCTAATATTTCCTTGCATTTATGGCAACCTCATTACCATTAATTACAGTAGAAGTCGTATCATTCTGTGATGCACAACCTTCTTTCAAAGAATTAAATTTCTAAACCTCGCTTTGTGTACGGACTACGCGGTGTGGACGTGGGAGCATTAGGATATTTGTCTTTAGAAAGACAGACAGACGCCTTTAAAAGTCAAGGAAATATATTTATTTGAATTTAGACCTAAGTTTATCGCTGTAGGTCGATTATTTAGTGCTATAAAGTGAGTTCAATGTATTCGTAACAAGTTTTACGCCGTTAGGAAATGCCCTGAGCAATGCTCTGTCCTGGTCGAAGTCCACAAATCTGTCTGCAGATGGCTGCTGGAGTTGTCCGATGTGTTTGACAACAATTCTTAAGGCATCGTTGAGCATTCACTGGGAGTAATTTGAGTAACTGGAATATTTAAATGAAAATAGCGTATTAATACGTAGGATTGACCTTTGATAACCTTTTGTGGTGATGTGTTTCGTTACAGAGTGTGCTTGGAGCTGAGGGAATTTCACTTCAGTTCCGTCATATCGCCAGTTATTTGTTGTGGTATTGTTCCCACGACAAGGAGAAGGAATTGCTTCATGAAGTTGTACGCGTGGTTGGCTTCTTCACTGTACGCAACTATGAAAATCAGGTAGGCACTTCCTCCTGTTAGCTACAGAGTGTTTATGGAAATTAATTTGGCCAGAGAGATGACGTGACGGGAGGCTTGAGAAAATTCCATAATGAATATCTCCATAATTTGAACTCTTTACCAAATCAAGATATTGAAGAGAAATGCAGAATTTCTATTGTGCAACCTGAATGGAATAGTCATCTCAGAAGACGTACACGTAAATGAGAGGATAATAATATTAAAATGGATCTTAGGTAAATTGGGATTTAGGGTGTGAATTGGATTTATGTGAGTCAGGGTAGGAACCATTGTGCGTCTGTTATGAACACGATAATGAACCTTCATGTTCCGTAAACGAGAGAAATTAGCTTCTGAAGAAGGGCTCAGCTACTTGGAATTAGTTGTTCGTAATGGGGCCCAATATTCTTACTTGTGGTGGAATGAAGTTCTCAAAGACATTTCTTCATATTTTATTATTACTATGGGATTTGACGTCTGGTTCATTGTTTTGACACCGACTTTAAATTAAACTTTAATACGGGGTAGACATTCAGCAGTTTGTAACTCGAAAAGAATGTTTTTTCTGGTTTGATTTTAAAAATTTTCATTGCTTTTATGAGTAGTGCTCACCCTTAACATTTGTCCAGACTTAAAGTTGCGTCAACTTTAAAAGAAGTAACCAGGTGTAAGGTGTTAATTAATTTCGTAAGATTTTTTCTATCCTTTGTACTCGTCCAATGACAAAAGTCCCGTATGTAACTCCGATAAATTCATCCATGGTTTGATGTATAAATCTGAATGTCTCCGCGTACAACTTTTTGTTCAAAAATGAAGTCACGATAATTTTCTTTCCTTCAGAATCACTGATCTACGCAACCACCATGCATTGCAGTAATATTAAATAATCTAACATTATATATCCTCTTGGTTTTATAAGTTATGTATAAGAGCACGACGTTTCGGGAACTTGATGTTTCCGCCATCAGGTTTGCCTTGAGACCGGGAAATGTGACGAAGACGAACTAATCATAATCGCTGACGTAAATTCACAGCTGGATTTTACATTTTTCTTTCTGTAACTGTCCCTTCTGATTGAATTTCTCACTCTCAGGCATAAATAATGATAGAAATATCCAAATATCCATCTTCTCTGATGATGGAGGCAGTATGGGTCTCTGAAACGTCGGTATACTTCTAACAGACTGCTTCACTACAACCCAGAGGACAGCAAAGAACTTAGTACTTAGTATTTCATTATGCCGCTAAGTAACTAACGACCCACGTGGAACAGAAACCTTCTTCAGGAACTGATAGTACGATCTGGTACCTTAGTCAAGAATTCTTCCGAAGTCGAAGGTGTGCATTACCATGTTCGTAACAGAATGCAACATCCTGGACATTTAAGGAGTTGTTGGTCGCTTGTCAAACCCTCACGCCAGATGACCATCTCTTGTCGGTTGTCCGATAATGTTTATTTTAATCACAGTCGAATTCTGTGGACGCGACTTACCACGGTGACAAAGGACACACGTCATATTATGTCACAGATGGAACGTATTGTGATTTTGAGTCAGAATTTTTTTGTTGAGATCTTAATAAGAATTTCTCGATGAATTTATCTCATCTCAGCGATGCTTGACGTGATCCTTCGTTTTGTAACACCGCGGAGTGTTGTAGTTCGGCTATCGGAATAAAATTGAGTTTCTCGAAGCCCGAGGTGTCCGTGGCGCCATCTTGGAGTCTCATTGGCTACCCGTGCTATCTTAATGACGGCATATCGCCGGAAATTCCTTCTGGTTGTCGAGAGAAGAAAGGATTTTGTCACCGGGACGACTTTCTCGTTCTGGTCTGGCCATTAAGATAACTCACGGCGCCGGTCCTAGAGACACAGAGACCCGGTTTGATATTATTTATGTCTCTCTTTGTTACATGGCTTTCTTTTATGAGCCCGTTTATATCTTTCTTCGTCAGTAATGGTACAGCAGCAGGGAAGCTTAAATTACTCCGCATACTTCAACAAAAATGACGTCGGCTTCTTTTAGTAATATGTGTTATTCGAGGTGCTTAAATAATTATATTGGAGGCTGGCAGTAAATAACATTTAGCTCTCGTCTTTTAATGTAGGAAGTTTAATACTCTTACGTCATTTTGCTGTAATTGAAGAATGGATCAATTTCTGAAGCAGAGGGTCCTCCTACTTCATTGATATATTAGTTTGTAAGGCTCCAGGCTGTGTAGCCGAGGTTACGATCCCCTAAAAAGGGATTTTTTTATATTTATATACACGTCTGAACAAGCTTTGCTACCCTGCCACCTCCATCTTCAGTGTCTGATAGAATTTGAATCAAAATATTCAGCA